TGATAAAGGCATGATTTCAACTAAATGTCCCTTTTATGCATGTTTTAAGGATTTTTGTGCATGGCTTCCATACTTAGTAAATTATTTGTGCTAACCCATATTTTCTACATTTACTATGAGTGTAGGTTCCGGTCATTGAGACGTACTTCTTCTTTCAAATGAATCTTGGGTTGACTATTCCCTAGGCTTGGTGAATCCTCATGGTTCGAGGACAAGATGCTATTCTTTTCTAGTTTCTATTGTACTTTCTATTTTGAGACTTTATTGATGTAAAGGGCTTTGACCCTAATTGTATTTTCTATTGTACTAGATGGTGATTGAGACAAGGTCTAGACTCTTATTTTCGTTTATGAAAAAGGAAGTTGACTTCAATTGTAAAAGTTTTAAATTTCCTGCATCATTTCTATGACTTTATGTTTATGATTATGCTAAGGGCTTGTATGAGACCCCTTCAGGGTCAAGTACGCCATGTTACGTCTAGGGGGTACCCCTGGATCGTGACACTTTCTCTCCAACATTCCAGTTTTGTTAATGCACTTTCTCATCAACATTCAATTATTAAAGCATTTTTTCTCCAACAATCCAATTTTGTTGATGCACTTTCTCATCGACTATCAATTTTGTTGGTTCACTTGAGATCAACTTTCACCTTCTTTTCTCTATTTTTCAAACTTTTAGAGAAAAGCTTTTTTCTCTTGTTTCATATTTGCTTGCACCTATTTAAATCTACAATATTTTTCGCACCATTGTCTTAACATGATTAATTTTACATGTATATATCATTGGACAGACATGCAACATACATTGATTTTGGGGTGGCAATTTCAGCCCATATTAATGAAATGAGTCCATTTTGCCCATATTTAATGACTTGGATATCTTTTAATTGATTTTTTCCTCGTTTTTATGAAGATCATATTTGTATACATATATACTTCATCTATTTTTATAGGCTTTCAATTGAAGAATTATTTGTTTCTACATTACAATGGTTATAGTTATTAAGGAAAAAAAAAACAATACAAGAAGAATATGAGCAAAAAGAGATTGTGGTTTGTGTGATTGTCAAATTTGTATATAGTAGAATACTTATATACATAGATACTTGTATTGTAATATTAACACATGTTGAAATGGTGATTTGTGAATACAAGTATACTTGGATACATAAGTAATCTATCCAATTTGAAAGGTTGATTAGGCAATACAAGTATAATTGGATACATTAATACTATATTTTTATAAACAAATGGATTGAGTTAACACCAAGCCTCAAGTATTATAGGAAAAACTTGACCAAAAAGAGATTGACGTTTGTTGGCTTTTTCAATTTTTTATACGGCCGAATACTTGCACACTTTGCTACCTACACATTCTATTATTTTCCATTTTTTTGTTTTTGAGTTGTCAAATGTATCCATCTTTTGTTTAACAACAATGTATTCATATGTATACTATATTGGTGTATTCATTTTTTGTTTAACAATAGTGTATTCGTTTTTTCAAATTATCGTGTTCATATGCTGAATTGTTATACTTTATCTTGTTAAATATATTAATATATTAAGTTTTTACAAATACTTGTATCCTTGATATATTAATACTTTAAATTTTATAAATAAAGACACCAAATTGAATTTGTACAATTAATACATTTTCCTTATTTAATTCATTGTAATTAAAATTGTATTAGTGTATAAATAGAAAAATAAAAACATATACAATAATACAGCTAGAAAAAGACATAAATTGTAGTCATTTTTTATAAATACCATACTTATAGCTATTGAACTTTAATAACCCTATAAATATAGTCATTTTTGTAAGTTGCTCCATTTTAAATGGGTAAATATGGGCTTCAAGTTATTTTAAGAACTCCTACAAATATGGTCAAAATGGGTAAAATATGGGTATCCATATAGACCCATAATAGATCACTCACTTCTCACTTCTACTCAAAATTATAAATTGTGCTAAAAAATAAAAATTCTAATATTAATTTTTAATTTTCAAAATTATTAATTTATTTTTCAAAAAAATTGGAGGGTGGGTGGGGCTGAGAAGGGGGGCAAAGGTGGAATTTTTATTTTTTTTGAGAAACATAATTTTTTTTTTGAAAGACAAAAAAAAATTAAAAAAAATTAGGGGTAGGTTGTGTGGAGGGTGGGGGGTGCCTGGGGGACTGGGGTGGCGGAGGCGTAATATATTTTTTTTTTTGGAAAAACATAATATTTTTTTGAAAAACCAAAATTCAAAAGAAAGTCTTTTTTAATTTTTTTTGGGCGTGGGGGGAGATGGAGGA